CTGACCAACAGGATGGCTATTGGGCCCAGTGAGTAGGAAGCTGTATGTGATCTACGTTCTTAGGAATGTTTACTAAGGGAAGGTGGGCCGGTGAGATGGCCGACGGATCCTACACAGTGGAAGGAGAGGATCAACTCTCACAAGATGCCCTCTGGCTTCCGCAAGCACACACACTCATGCAAAGTAAAGAAAAATGTACTACAATCTAAAAAAAAAAAATTCAATAAAGGAGGAGAATAAGTCCCACAAAAAATTCAGGGATTGCAATGTCAATGAGGCTTGAAGGGGACCCAGGGGTTCAGGGCCTGTCTTTCCTCCAAGATGAGCGACCAGTGTCCTCTTCACACTGCCCTCTTCACAGGAAGAGGCAAAGGATGGGCTTCTGTGGGACTTTGAATCTGTAGGGGTGGGGATGGGGAGATGGGACGGACAATATATACCACATCTAGCTGTGCCGCCAAAGCCGTTTTCTGTGAACTCCGTGAGACTGTGACCTTGGGGAAGAGACCCTGAAGCAGGTGCAGGCTGCAGAGGACACTGCCCAGTCACGTGAGCATTCTGAATGAGAGGCCACTGCAGAAGGATGCCGGGTGGACAAGCGCCAATAGGAGTCTCTGGCACGACAGACCCTCAGGGTTTTCTAGAAAACCATGCCAGCGGCTTGTGCCAGTAACTCTTCTGCATTTGAAAAGTAGCTCCTGGCTCACACTGGACATGGCAGGGCCAGAATGCCTGTCTGTGGGACCCCAAGCGACCCCTGTAACCAGAACCCACGGCATAAGATTGGACACACACTGGCGTTCCATTATTAAACAGCAGCAACGAGGTCAGGTCTGGACAAGCCCAGGAAGCATGGGAAACCGCGTGAGCAGGCGGTTCGGATTCCCCTGGCACCCCACTTGCTGCTATGGCAGTTCTCCCTAGAGCACATGTGAGCTGCTATCCCATTAACTTGAAGAAACAGGCACAGATAGGATTGCTGTATGTGTGTGTGTGTATAGATAGTTACAGATATAGATATAGTTAGTCAGTATATATGCGTATAGTTATATACTTTATTTTTTATTACCTTAAATTTTTTAGCATAATTTATTTCTACTTCACATTCACTGGTGTTTTGCCTGCACGTGTATATGTGGGAGGGTGTCACAGCCATGGAACTGTTGTGAGCTGCAGTGCAGGTGGTGCTGGGCATTGAACCTGTCCTCAGGGAGAAAAGGCAGTGCACACCTCTGCACCAGCTCATGTGGATGCTGGGCATCCGAGCACAGCAGAGGACAGCTGGTTAGAAAGACCTTTCTCTTCTCCCACATATGAGTCCCAAGTACCAAATTCAAACACCCTTACCCACGGAGCCCTATCCATCTCTCCTTCACGCCACAACCAGGCTGTCCTCGAACTCAAGGAGGTCCACCTACCTGTCTCCCGTGTGCTTGGATTAAAGGAGTGTGCCACTTTGGCTTGCACCTCCACTTTATTGGGGGGCAGGCAGGGACTGTCACCCAGCAGAGCTTGCTGATTCAGCTAGAAGGGCTGGCTAGCCAGACTCTGGGTTCATCTCCTTCCCGTCCCCCACCTCTCCCCGCCCCCGCCCTGAGATGACAGCTCTCGATGTGAACACTGGGCAGCTGAACACCAGTACACATAGTCAGAAGACTTAAAAATAGGGAGATTGGAGGCTGGGGAGAGGGTGCTGTAGTTTGAGAACCTTCCTGTTGGGAGGCTGACACCCCTTTCTTTGTAAAGGAGCAGTTATTGCCTCAGGGGTCTAAGTGCATACTAATGACCCCGACTGGCATCCCCACCTGGTGGCTCCTGCCAGTACCGCATTTCTGGATGCGACAGAATGGCTCTCATGGTCCGCCTCCTGCCATTTGATGGAGACCATCTGCAGTATTCTGTAGACTGCCATGTCCTCCCAAGGAATCCGTTAGCAGTACCGACTGGAGAACATGGCAAGCTGGGAGCGAGACTTCCCCCTAAGTCTGGGCTTCTGATGGGCCCTGCTGCAGTGTGTGCTTCAAACAGTAGCTAGTATATGACACCGTTTGAGACAGGGTTTCTCTGTGGCTTTGGAGCCTGTCCTGGAACTAGCTCTAGTAGACCAGGCTGGCCTCGAACTCACAGAGATCCGCCTGCCTCTGCCTCCCGAGTGCTGGGATTAAAGGCGTGCACCACCACTGTTCTTACAGTGCAGTTTCACAAGCATGGGGAACAAGGGGTTATGTGCAGGAGAGTCTCTATTATTCCCAGTTACTTGCTGGAGGGATTCCTGCCTTTATTCCCGTGATTTGTGGTCATGTTAAACTCTGTGTGTGGCTTAGCCAAAAGGCAGGAAGAGGGCCAAAGGCATCAGCTACAGGAAAATTAGTCTGCATTATCAGAAGGAAACTAAATTTTACTATACATTGGGGGTAGGCAGAAAGGCTGGCTGGAATCATGGGGTTCACCAGAGGCCTCCTAGTTCTCTCCTCCTGTGACCCTTAGCTGTGGGGGACCAGAGAACCCAACGAACATCACAACAGTACGAAGTGCAGATATATAGGGAAAGGGGGACACACAATAGTCAGGGTTCTCTCCTCTCAACCTCTCCACCCTAGAATTTGTTGTTCTGGAGACAGGTGTGGCTATAAAGTCCCAGGTAGGACTCAAAGAATCCCCTACTTCAGCCCACCAGATGAAAACCCCAACCAGTCATGGCATTGCCCACGGTAAGAACAGCAAAGCCAGGCATGGTGGTGGCACATGCTTGCTGTGGGAGAATACTCTGGTACACTGGAAAGATTTGTCACTCATATTGGTTTAATAAAATGCTGATTGGCTAGCAGCCACGCAGGAAGTATAGGCAGAGCAACCAGACTAGGAGGATTCTGGGAAGAGGAAAGGCAGAGACTCAGTTACCAGCCAGACACAGAGGAAGCAAGATGAGAATGCCTCACTGAAAAAAGGTACCAAGCCACATGGCTAAACATAGACAAGAATTATGGGATAATTTAAGTTGTAAGAGTTAGGTAATAATAAGCCTGAGCTAACAGGCCAAATAATTTATAATTAATATAAGCCTCTGGCCATTGTCCTTAGAGCCCCAATGACTAACTTTTTAAGAAGGTTTTTGTGCAAGACATTAGGTGTCTTTCTCAATCCCTCTCCACTTTCATTTTGAGACAGGGTCTCTCTCTCTTTGAGCCTTAAGTGTATCTATCAGTGGTAGCTGGCCATCTGGCTCCAGGGATTCCCCCTGGCCTGGCCTCCTCAGTGCTGGCACTGTCTGCTAAACTGAGTTTTTACATGTATCCTGGGTGTGTGCGTGTGTAAAAAACTTGGGTCCCTGTGCTGTCTGAAAAACACTTTAACCACCGAGCCATATTCCCAGCCAATTATTTTATGTATCCCTCTGTAGTTTAGGCTGCCTCAAAGTTGTGGTGATCCTCCTGCCCCAGCCTCTGGAGTATTGGAATTATTGGGATTGCAGGTGTGATCCCCCATCCTAAGTTTGTAATGATTAATATTTCAAGTTAATCCCTGAGAAGAACTGGAAAATGGCAGGGATGCAGTGTTGCTGAGATTTTTGTTTCCCATGTAAGGATTGTGTTTTCCTCCTTTCATGAGAGACAAATTGACATGAAAATCTTCATTATTGTTGGTTTTCTGAGACAGGGTTTCTCTGTGTAGCTCTGGCTATCCTGGAACTCGCTCTGTAGACCAGGCTGGCCTCAAACTCAGATCCACCTGCCACTGCCCTCCCCCAGTGCTGGGACTAAAGGCGTGTGCCACCATCGCCTGGCGAGATTTATATTTTTATTTATGTATATGTGTATGCTGGTATGAGTTTATGTGCACCATGTGTGTGCAGGGGCCACAGAGGGTTGGATCCTCTGAGTTGGGGTTGAGCTGTTAACCACCAAGCCATCCCAGTCAGGAAAATCCAAGTGGAAATTCTGATCCACAGGTAGCTGTGCTGTTGTTTATGGACACAGCCGTGGCTGGACAGGACCCTTCCAGACACAGCTCTTTTCAAGTGCGGCTCTAGAACCTTTTATTGTTGCTATCCTTGAGATGGGGTGTGGCCTTGGGGCCCCAGGTTGGCCTCAAGGAACCCTTCTACTTCTACCCCTCCTGCCTGGGATCAGGCAGAGTCCTGCGCTGTTGAGGGGCGGGGGATGTTTCCCTAAAGTGAGCTCTATTGGGCCTCATCCTTGGTGGTATTCATAACACTGCCTGCACCTTCGGAGTGTTCCAGCGGTTCCCTGCTGGGACAGCAACACAGGGATGCAAGGTGGTCCTTTCCTATAACCCTTTTGGCATGGCCCCCTTCAGATATCCTCTGTAAGGTCGGCTCTGAATCCAGGTCCCAGGCTTGGCAGAGCCTCTTGGACAGTACAGATTCCTCTGGGCTGAGAGCTCACTGCCCTCTGGTGTCAACTACTGGAAATGCCGCTCAGTTCCCAGCTCTGCATTACACACAAACCCCATATTCCAACAGGGTACATACAGGGACTGTATGGTCCCACTTTCCCAGGTGAGAGCACGGGGCTTCAGAGCCTTTGCACTGCCCTCAGGTCCCAAATATAAACTACAAGGTCCCATCCTCCCCCTCTGTTCCTCGGAGCCAGACATACTGGCTTTTAGCAAGCAGAGCAAACAGACTTGTTAGGGAAAAGTAGAGAAAACTCGCCCTGGCCTTCCTTGGGCCTCAATGTCTCCACTGGCCTCAGCAGGAGCCAGTCCTGGGTGCCAGTCAGAAGTCTCCCTGATAACAGCCGGCTGCCCTGCTGCCCCCACTCACACACCGGGGTTTCTAGCCGTGTGGGCACTGGGAACTGTTGCCCTTCAGCACCGAGCTGAGGCCCTGAGCACAGACACGGTACCCCATCACACCGTATCTCCAGCACTTGGCACACAGTATCAACCCCACCAGCAGATGATGGTGGCGGTGTCTCTGTGCCAGGCTCTGAACTTAGTTCCTCAGGCGCCTTTGTTCCCAGGAAGCAGCCCTGGACTCTTATAAAAAACTCACATTGATTTATTAGAATATGAAAAAGGTTTCTTTTGTACAGGTGGCAGAGCGGCGGCAGCTGCAGTGGCTTTGTACATGGTCGTCGATGTCACCGTACATGGCAACTCCTGCCCGAAACAGCACTTGCATGGAGAGGAGACAGCTGGGCCAAGCACCCATGGCCCCACCCCTGGGAGGGACCCCTCTGACTACTGCACTATCCTTGGGGAGGGAGTGCTTGGAGGCTGGACAGGCACCTGTGGGCTTGTGCCCAGCCATGGTGGCAGAAGGGAGTATGTGCTTGTGAGCAAAGGCCTCTGGGGTCCAGTGCTCTGTCTACTCCAGCAGCCCTGGCCAGCACAGGGCACCCTCAGCGGAAGCCTTATTCCCAGGGCTGGGCTTCACTGCAAGCTATGTATGCAGGTAAGAGAGGGGTCGGATGGGGGGGGGGGTGGTGGAACAGGCCAAGGCCAACAGAGTAAAGCAGGCCCGTGAGCAAGGTAGGTGCCAGGAGGCCCCTTGCTCGTGAGCTTGAATCCCGACAAGTTGGGCCACATCTCAATCAGTGCCGTGGGCAAGAGCCCAGTGGGCAGAAGTTCGATTTAGGGGAAGGCGGTAGACAGCAGGAAGGAAGGAGGGGAAGAGGGTGGAGCTGACTGGTGTGGAGTCTCCAGGGTCTGGAAACAGGAGTGCCTCTGTGCAAACGGAATCGTACTTACGTGGAGGTGCAAACATTGTAAGAAGGCAGCACTACCTGGAGCGTGGGCAGCCCTCCAGCTCCAGCCCCAGGAGGCCCGTGGTCCTCATCCCCCAATCACAGTACCTAGCAGGAGCTCAGAGGTGCCCCGAGCCACGGGCCAGGGTGCCATGGCTGGCAGGAATAGCGTGGGTCGGCCATGGGTCCCCCGTCTGTCTCCCAACCACATGCCTGTTGTCCTCTGATTCAGGAGGCCCCGTCAAGGCCAAGGAAGGTTCGGCTCCCTCCTTTCCTGGTGGGGCCACAGTGGAGCCAGAGGCTCTTTGGTTAGAAATGATGATCAAAGATGGAAAATTGGTCTGGATGAGGAGGGGGCTGTGGGACGGGAGGGCCTCGTGAAGCCCTGGTTCCAGGACGGGAGAGCTTGGCTCTAGAGATAGGGCAGAGCCTGCCTCACCAGTCCAACTCTCTGCCAAATGGATTGGAAAGGCAGTTCTGGTGGGAGAGGACACTTCCCAGGAGGCAGGGCAAGCCGTGCTGCAGTGGGGGCTGTGGACCCAGCTGCCATGCGTAGGAAGGGGGCAGGGCCAATCCAGGTCAAAGGGCAAGGGGAGCACCCAGTCCCCACTCTGTGGGAGAGTCTATGGGACACCCACTGGCCTGGGCCTACTGCCCTTTGGGGATGAAAGGCTCTCCCTCCCCGGGCTCGGGGTGAGGGCCTGGGTCACTGAGGCAGCGCTGTATCCTCTGGGAGCTGGGGCTGTCACTTGGTCCAGGAGTGAAGACATCATCAGTGCCTGGGGATGAGGGCTCCTTGCTCCGCATCATGATGACGCCATCCTCATCTTCATCTTCCTCCTCCCGAGTCATCCTTGTTGGATCCCGGTTTAGCCCTAGGACCTTGCCCTTCAGCTCCTCGTTCACCAGGTCCACAGACTCGGGTGACTGTGGGGACGCTGGGTCGATAGTGATAACAGGCAGATCTGCCTTGGGCTCATAGGCCAACGGATCTGCGGATTGAAAACAAAGCATGAGCCGGGCGGTGGTGGCGCACGCCTTTAATCCCAGCACTCGGGAGGCAGAGGCAGGCGGATCTCGGTGAGTTCGAGACCAGCCTGGTCTACAAGAGCTAGTTCCAGGACAGGCTCCAAAACCACAGAGAAACCCTGTCTCGAAAAAACCCCCCCAAAAAAAAACCCCCCCAAAAAAAAACAAAAAAAAAAAAAACAAAGCATGGATGGGTGGATGGGCTCCGCCCCTGAGCCCTGCTCAGTGCGTGCCACACCTCAGGGACCCCTTCAGCCTGTGCTAGCGGCTCTCAGACCTTCCCAAGAGTGCATCTGTGTCTAAGGGCTTCACGCCAGTTACCAGTTGCTCTTCCATCACTCGGTTGCCCTCCTTGGGTCAGGAGTTCCTACTGGTGTCCCACAGGTTAAAAAATAGGGCTTTGGGCTGGAGAGATGGCTCAGCAGTTAAAAGAACTGGTTGCTCTTGCAGAGGACCCGGGTTCAATTCCCAGTACCCACATGGCAGCTCATAACTGTCTGTAACTCCAGTTCCAGGGGATCTGACACCCTCACACCAATGCACATAAGGTAGTTATATATATATAAATTTTTTTTTTTTAAGAGAAAGAAATGGGCTTTTTCCCGAGCCATGACCTGCAGGCCTACGTCTGCCCCTGTTCCTCTTCACGGACTAGTGACTTCTGCCTCCCTACCGGATGCTCTGTGCTATTGCCCACTGCAGTCTTCACCCTGAGAACCCCCGGCAGCACCTCTGTGCCTGGGTTTCAGAGCAGAGCTATGCTGCCCTCTCTGTGAACACCCAGCCCTCCCAGTATGGACATAACTCAAGGTTCGAGAAGAAGTCATGATGGGAAAAGCTCATCTTCCCCCATGATTCTGAGGCTCTCGCTGGCACAAACACCCAGCCTGAGGGCCTCTTTAACCTTACCTGAGCCTATACGGGCCCGCGACATGGTGGGTGAGTCTAGCTTGTGGGCCGGCACTGTCAGGTAGTTGCTGATCTGACAGAGAGAGCAGACAGGGTGAGTGTGGCAGTGGGCTGGCAGAAGTCCTCCGGAAGACACTGAGACAACGGTTCCTGGATGGGCAGTCTCTTTGTCCGTACCGGCACCCGCAATGACACCGGGGCCTTCAGGGGACTTGTCCCAGGCTCTCGGCAAAGCTGGGCCACCTTCCTAGGCAAACTCAAACAGATCTACTTTGTGCTAGACTTGCCTCCAGCCCACAGCTGACCCCAAGATTCTAGATTCTAGATTAAAACAATAGCAATAAAACACAACCCGAGGCAGCATGTCGAAGTCCCGTATGGCCCCCACTACCACCGCAGCTGAGCTCAGCTCCTTACCTAGCATCAAGCCTTGTTCCTTTCCTGGGCACTCTGACTTCTACCAGCCCCTTTAGATTCCTTTCCTCCCAGTGACCCCAGTCACCAAGTCTTGCTGAGCTCCTCTTCCCAGTGTCCCTTGAGCTCACTTGTCTCTCTCTGTGTCATCCCCACCCTTTCTCAGCATGGCTCCTCAGGGGATAAAGCCCAAAGCCTCACTCCACTAACAAACCTCCCAGGCTGTGTCTGTTTCTGAAACAGGTGCATGCCCTCAGAGGAGCCCAGCAGAGCCGGAGGTGCCCTGGGGTGAGAGTGCAGAAGAGGAATCCAGCCTCGAGCATGCGTGAAAGGCAAGCCCAGCCTGACACACACCTTCTGCTCCAGCTGCCGGGCCTTCTGCCTCCGGAGCAGCATCTGGTTCCAGGCTTCCTCGTAGGGGTCGGCCACCAGCGTGTGTCTGTTGTAGGACCGCAGCTGAGGGCAGAACAGTCATCAGGGGAGGGAAGGACTCAAGCTGGGCTGGGAGGCCACGGCCAAGGAGGCCTGGCTGTATGGGGGACAGGAGAAGGGCATGGTAGGAGCCAAGGAGGCTCAGAGGAGAGCAGCTAAGAAGGCGCCAGGCTGGGGCAGGACCTCACCCGCTGCCGGGTCTTCTGCAGGTTGCTCCTCAAGATTTTGCGAATCTCCTCCTCCTTGTCCTTGGACAGTGCTGGCAATATGCGCTCTGAAGCCATGGACTTGGGGTGGATGTTCCTGGGACAACAGAACACAGGTTAGGTCGCCATTTTGGCAGCAGGAGGCCATGCTGGCGGACAGCCCAGGGGTGTGTAGTCAAAGTCCTAAGCCCTAGTATGGCTTCAAGTCAAAGGCTACCTTGACTAGCTAAACAACACGGCCCTGGTGGCCATCCCAGGCTATGGCTGGGGGAGCTAACATAGGTACAGATGCTGCCCAGGTTGGCAGTGGCACTCACTGCATTGAGACAGTGGAAACAGCAGACGGGATCTTGCCCATGCCTCCACTTTCCACCAGCTCGATGGCCTGCTTCATCTCCATCTTGTGGTAGAAGGCAATGAGCTGGGGCTCTTTGGAGCGCTCGCCAGCTATCAGACACTTCTTCACATACTTCTTATTAAACCGGTTGAGCCTGTGGGAGGAGGGAGGTGGATGGGGCTGGTTCCTAGGCATGAGAAGATGCCCAGGCCCCCAAGGACCCTTAACTGTTCTCCACACCCTCCTGCCCACCAGACCTTCACCTACTTGTCCTTCCAGTGATGGTGGCCATAGTGACCACAGATGTCCTCGATGCCTGTCAGAAGGTGGTCCAGGAACTGAAATGGGCCCAGGGCCAGGTCAAGCCTTACTACTGGGCTCCTTCCCTACCCCACCCACCTTCACCCATAGTCTGCTTAGCCGGGCCCTGTAGTTCCAGGAGTAGCCAGGAGGTGGCGCCTTTCCCTTACTCATCCTGAAGCCCAGGCCGCACACTCTGGTGTGCCCCCCCCCCCCACCCATGTGCAACTAATGACAGAGGTTGGTGTCAAGTAGAGCCAGGGGTGGTATAACAGCCTCTTGGGCTCCCAACTGCTCACACCACACTTCCCCTTCAGCTAGAGTCTGGTGGGGGACCTCCAGGGGCTGAGAGATCACCTAGCACTGGGATGAAGGAGGGTACGCTGAAGGCCCAGCTGCGCCCCAGCTCCAGCCTTCTCCTGCAACCCAAGGCCCAGCCCAGCCTCCAGTACCTGGGTGTGGATCTCCTCGTTGATGGAACGCTTAGTTTCTTGCTTTTTCTTCACAGCCAACAGGTCTACCAAGGGCCGAATGGTCATACCCTGGAGGGCAGGTGAGAATCTGACATCCTGGTTCTGCTACATCCGCAGGGAGGCTGAGGAACATCCCTTCTTCCTGAGGGGCACCCCCACCCCAAGGCAAGGAGAATCTCCCAGGACTGGGCTTCTCACCCTCTACCTCACTATGTAAATAAAGGCAGGTCTTTTTTTTTTTTTGGTTTTTCGAGACAGGGTTTCTCTGTGGTTTTGGAGCCTGTCCTGGAACTAGCTCTTGTAGACCAGGCTGGTCTCGAACTCACAGAGATCCGCCTGCCTCTGCCTCCTGAGTGCTGGGATTAAAGGCGTGCGCCACCACCGCCCGGCTTAAAGGCAGGTCTTTAAAGTGCACTTCTTCCTGTCAGAGTTCTACCAGCCCAACCTGTGGAACAAGCCTCATTGCCCGTCTAGTTGGGGCCTGGGTTCAGTGTGGGCTCTATCACCAATCTGCTCTGCAGCCCAAGAAGTCAGGCCTGCAGACATTAGCACTGCCCCCTGCAGACAGAGAACCTCTGCACTGTCCCTCAGACAGAGGACCACCCCCATACAGTCCCCTGCAGACAGAGAACCTCAGCACTGTCCCTCAGACAGAGGACCACCCCCACACAGTCCCCTGCAGACAGAGAACCTCAGCACTGCCCCCCTTACAGGTTCTTAGTGTTTCCCTAGGATTTGGGCTTCAATACCTGCAATATCCCTAAAAGATGGCTCCTTAAAATGTTCCCATTTTACAGATGAGGGAACTGAGCAGTACAGAGGCTGAGGGATTTCCTAGGGCCAAAAAGAGTAGACCCAGAGGCAGGCTGGTTCAAGGAGGTCAGAACCATGCCACCTTCAGTGAAAGTGGGCTTGGAAATCCACTGAACAGACTCAACAGCAAAGTCAACAGAAGGCAGGGCGTCTGAGGATGGAGCGGGAAAGAGGGCAAAGAGGAGCTCGCTCCTGTGAAAGGACAGAAACTGCGCCCCATCCAGGAGGTCTCCCCATATTTTTCTCTCATGAGAAGGCAAAGGTGTGTCCTTCTGGCACCGTGTGAGGTGCCCAGGCAAGGCAGAGGATGCAAGAGAAATAGAGACCAACAGTTTGTTACCTGTTCTAGGCCAGGCAGCTACAGGAGAGCAGTGGGCAACATGCCACACAGACTCCCTTGAGAGGTGGGTAGAGACGGTCATTTAAATGCCCAGCAGTCACTGACCAGCAGGCTTGAAGGACTCTTGGGATCATTTGGCCGGGTTTCCTCACCTCACAAATGGAGAACTGAGACACAGACAGGAGTACCTCCCCAAGAAACACAGCTAGTGGACACTGGGCTGAGCCCAGGCCTCAGGTTTCCCGGCTCGAGAGATGTTCAGCTGCCTGTTCTGCAATGCTAGAAACAATAACCAGGAAACCACCGCAGCCCTGCCCTGAGCTGGGACAGTCAGATCTCGGGCCTGCCAGCTACGCATGTGACATCCGCGGCTCTCAACAGAGCTGGGCATACTCTGGTCACTTCACACACTAACCATTGATTTCACAACGTTCACTACCACAGCTGGGAGCTGAGGCCACAAAGCAGGATGGCTTGCCCAAAGTCATGTGGCAAGTTAGCTACAGGGTACCCATAGCCCTTTCCACCAGAAAAGTCAGGGCCCCCAAGGCAGGGACATGCCCATCCCAGGCCCAGCACCTGCACAAAGACTGTGAAAAAGATGACCGTGATGATGGCAGTGAGGAACAGGTCACACATGGGGAAGTGCTTCTTGTCCAGGAGGTAGCCCAGGGAGAAGGCGATGGCCCCTCGCAGGCCCCCATAAGCGATGATGAACTGGTCCTTGGGGGTCAGCTTGACAATGCGGAACTTGTTGATGAACCAGGTCAGGCCCAGCACACCTGCCAGGGAGCAGGCAGAGGAGAGGTCAGGTGGCCCAGGAAGCCCCTCTCACTAAGCCCATTTAGCTCACTCACTTCTGAGTGAAGTGAGTAAGAACTCCCAGAGGCCTTCAGGGGCTATGGGTCAAGGGATGAGGAGACAACAGAGTGGTAATGAATCGTTACTTATTAAAACAGATGAGCAGCAGGGAAATTGTCTCTCCTTTTCTATATATTGGGAACTGTCCGTAATAAAGTGTACTTCACAATGCAGGCAGTGAGGAGAGGGACGCAGAAGGGTGCTTTGCCCCACATGCCTGGGGTCCTCAGCTTGATCCCCAGCATCACTAAACACACAGACAAAACCTGCTTGCCAACAATAAAAACCCCACAAAACTCTTTACAGGCAGCTTACACCTATAATCCCAGTACTCATGAGGCTGGGCAGAAGAATTTCCAAGAGTTCTAGCCCAGCCTGGTCTACATAGTAAGACCTTATCTCAAACAAGAAAACCCCAAACAACACACAGACCATCACACAGACGGCTCTGTGTCCACACACACACACACACACACACACACACACACACACACACACGCCCCATCACACAGACGGCTCTGTGTCCACAAGCACACACACAGACCATCACAGCCAGGGCTCCGCGCAAATGTAACGGGAAGCACAGACTTGGCTCTCAGCACAGAGAAAAGGGAGTAAGATACAGAGGAAGCAGTGGCCTAGCCACTGAAGTGAGGACAATCTGGCATATGGGGATGGAACCACAGGTGACACCAGCCTGGTGGCTCTGGGCATATGTGCTACGACAGGCTGGGTTTTGAGGGCCTGAGAAAGCCACTGGGCTGTTGGAGTGTTGCAAAGCCCTTCACTATGACTCTCTGTGACACCATCCCCAGCGTCTCCATACTAACTACAAGGGGAGGGTGTCTCTCCCCGTGTGGTCTCAAATGACGTCAGCATCGCAGAGAAGAAATGGGAGCAGCCAGGAACCATTCAGCCAGGAACACACTGCAGTATACGCATCTCACAAACTGGCCTCTCCATACACTATACACCCACAGCTCAGCCTCTCACGCTGTCGTAGACCCCACAACTTAGCCCCTCTACACCATAGATACCCCACATCTCGGTCCCTCAATACGCTGTCATAGATACACCCACACTTTAGCTCCTCTACAGACTGTACTGGACATGCCCCACAAGTCAGCCCCTCCACATGCTATATTATAGACACCCAACAGCCCAGCACCCTCAATACACTGTACTGGACACCCACAGACCACCTCTTCTACATATTGTACCATACGATACAACCCAGCTAGTACTGTACCTTACCACACACAGCCTGTCTCCTCCACACAGTTGCCGTTACACACACACACACACACACACACACACACACGCCTCCCGTGACCTGGGTCTGGCCTCACACTGTATCACAGCCCCTCCACAGTGCTCACACGGTCACACAGTCGGTCACACATCCTCCCTCAGGCTGCGTCTGGCCCTTACCCAGGACCCGGGCAATGAGGCAGAAGAGCAGGGTGCTGATGACGAAGGTCCAGTTCCACTGGTGGGAGCCAGCCACAGTGGAGACCCCGAGGAAGATGAAGATGAGGGTCTCGCTGACGCTGCTCCACATCTTCAGGAAGTATTTGATGGTGGTGTGGGACTTGTGGGAGATGTTGGCTTCCACGTAGGGACGCATCACCACTCCTGAGGCAATGAGGCTTGGGGTAGAGAAGGAAAGGGTTCGAGGTGAGCTGCGCCACTGCTGACAGGCTGACCAACCACCTGCCTACTAGGAACGCATAAGGACCAGATACCCACTGTGCCTCTTTGACCCTCACATTAAGTATACACGGGGCCAGCGAATTCTTGCGTTTTCAGACAAGAGACAGAACTTTTGGGAAAATAAAGTCACCTCCACTTGTCTAACTGAGGTGAGTCCACTCAACTCCAAAGCCTTGGCCTCGTCTCCAAGGCCATACCGCATCTGCCCAATGTGGTCTCTTGGGTTCACTCCCTCCATGTGCGATGCTCCCAAGGCACAGGGTCCCACTAGGGTAGTGGTTCTCAACCCTCCTAATGCTGCGACACTTTATAGTTCCTCACGTTGTGGTGACCCCCAAACATAATATTATTTTCAATGTACTTCATAACTGTAATTTTGCTAGTGTTATGAATCATAATGAAAATATCTGTGTTTTCTAGTGGCCCTGGGCGACCCCTGTGAAAGGGTCACCACCCACAGGTTGACAACCACTGCTCTGGGGAACTCTGCAGGCTTGTCCCCACTACCCAGAGTCCCCCAGTTTAGACTGGCCTCGCACTTCTGTTCTCCTTGTCCCTCACTGACTCTTCCCATGGACCACTGCAAACTCAACAGAGGCCTCAGGGCTTTTGCGACTCAGGCTTGGTAAATGCTGGTAAGGCCTTTCTAGGGAGCCTGTGGCAGGACTGAGACCTAAGACTTCAGGAAGCACGAGATTCTGCCTCCTGTGACTGAGCCTAGCCAACACAGGTTGTTTTTTTGTTTCATCCGCTTTCAGGCAATCTTCAGAATCCTGAACCCCAGAGCCCAATCCGCTAACGACCTGGATCATTCCAGTGGATACCAGCGAAGTCTAGAGTCCAGAGTTCGGGTGCTGGGGAGCTCCTTGGTGACCACACGGATGTAGGGATGTCATGCTAAGTGGCTTCCCCTACCCAGCCCATCACCTGTCGTGCCCGACTCACGCCATGATTCCCGACAGGTGGAAGAGCTCGGCTGACAGGTAAGCCATGTAGCTGTAGAGGAATACGAAGAGCGGCTCGATGACCCGGATGTGGGAGGTGAACCGTGAGGTGAAGGCTGCGATGACCCCGTAGACCACGCCCACAAACACCCCGCCGAGGGACACTACGAAGAAGCTCAGGAAGCCAAGGAAGATGTCCGAGATGCCCACATACTCATAGCTGGCAAACTCCTCAAAGAGGTGATAGAGGACCTGGAGAGGGCAGGCAGGCTGGTGGGCAGGAGGGCAGGAGGGCAGGGCCTGGCCCCATGGCTCCCTGGTTATCCCACCCATGCTTATCCCACCCTCCACAGCCCACAGCCATGAACATAGCCTATACGCAGCAGAGAAACCCTAGTGCTGAGTAGGTATAGAACCTTGGCCTGGGGGCCGGGACCTTCTTCTTTGGAGGCCTGCGGCCCACCCTGCTGGTCATGAATGCAAGCTCTAAAGCTGGGCAGCCAAGCGGCAATCCTTCTTACACACCGCAGGTAACCCAATCTTCTGTGCTTCAGTTTCCAAGGGGTGGGAGCAAGCGCAGTGCCCACGTCACAGGGCTGTCATAGAAGTAAGCTAATAGAGTGCTCAGCACAATACTCCCTGTGCTGTCGCCGCCACTGGTGCCACCAGGTCTACGTATCTCACTGCTTGACCTTGTATAAAGCAGGCCAGTTCCAATAGCAAACCAGGATAGGACCTGTCGTTAACCTCTGGAAGGAAGTGCACGGGCTAGGTCGTATGCAACCTGGGATCCACCAAGAGGGACTGGCAAATCCAAAATTTAAACAAGATGCCCGGGTAGTTCCAAGGAACAGCCAAACTCAGACGCTGTGGAGCTGGAGGCCTCCACAGCTTCCCAGCCTGGCAATGGGAAAGTCTGCAGTGGTCATCACGTACCGACTATCTCTATTGGTATGCAGGCCAAGGATACCTTATACCTATCTCCTTGCTACAGTGAGGCTCAGGCATATCAATTAACATGCCGGGGGGCCCACCAAGGGGCAGGCCCAGGCCCAGAACTTGTTCCCTCAGTCTATGGGTTTTGTTTTGAGTGACCAACATGGCGGCTCCCCAGGCTACTCAAATCCAGCCCTAGATAGCTCTGCCAGGAACCAGATGGGGAGTTTCCAGGCCTGGAAGGAAGGGGAGGCAGACAGGAGAGGGTGAAAGGACAGAGAGCTGATGCCAGGCAGCTTGGGTGCAGCATCACTGTCTTGGAAATATGGTGTTTACAGCTGTACCAAGCCCTAGAAAAGGTCCAACAGGGGCCTGGCAGGAAGGGCAGACGCTGGGCACTCTCTGGGCCCCAGTGCTGCTCCCTAGAAAAGGTCCAACAGGGGCCTGGCAGGAAGGGCAGACGCTGGGCACTCTCTGGGCCCCAGTGCTGCAGGTGTTTCACACCTGCCTGGGGGACAGGAGAGGCCTCAGCAGCAGGTGTGCTCTGCCCAAGGCTAACCTCACTCCTGGTCTGGGGACGCTCAGTGTCTGCCACACGGGCCACTGGAACAGTACAGTGGCCAGGTCCTCTTTTCTAGCCTGCGGCTATGATTAGTGTGACAAGTAGAGAGAGAACACGGTGGAGGCCGGTGGGGGTCATGTGACTCTAGCATCTCACGCATTAGCTGGTGGAGCCTCCTACTGCCTCCATTTCTTCATGCAGGAACACTTGGATCAGAATGCCATGGCCTGGCTGTTCTTTGCTAGAGTTACCTGGGAAGAAGACCTTCAGCTGGGAGAATGAGTCTCCAGCAGAACCAGACTTCCTGGAGCCAATCCTATGGGGAATTTTTTTGATTAAAAGGCTGACGAGGGAGGATACAGTTCACTGTGGATGGTACCACCTCTGAGCAGGTGGTCCTGGTTGTACAGGGAAGCAGACTGAGCAAGTCAATAAACAGCGTTCCTCCACAGCTGCTGCTTCAGCCCCGACCTCCAGGGTCCTGCCCTGAGTTCTTGTCCTGACTTCCCTCGGTCATGGGATGTGACCTGACCTGGCTGTAGGCTCAAACAAACCTTTCCTCCTCAGATGCTTTTGCTCTGGTATTTTATCACAGCAACAGAAACCCCAATGGATATGCAAACCAGATAAGGCAAGCTACATTCAGACTGGAAGCCTCTGAACACTGGCCACATCGTCACCACTGTCACTACTGTCAGGAGATGGCATAGATCCTACACACCCAGATCTGAGTTATCAACTCAGTGAAAGTATATCACTGTTTCCAGTAGTGTCAACATGAATTCCTATCCAGACTCAGCTGGGCAGGGTTCAACTCAGGTACCAACTGGCTTCAGATACACATTAATAAGAATTATTCCATTGTGGGAATTTCTTAAGTCAATAGCCTTTTAGATATCGGCCCATTTTGGGCATGATCTCAGGACTAGAAGTGCACATGAAAATCATGCATGACCCCTTTTTTCTGCTGGATTCGGCTCCCAGCTTCCATGCACACAGGGGACCACAGATGGCTACCCTTACTGTGAGTTTATCCCCAAATAAATAAACCTTTGTTATACTCATTCCAGGCTATTGTGGAACTCTTTGATACGCCCACATTTTGGCGCCCAATGTGGCCTGAGCTCACACTACTCCGCCATGAGAAAAAGCAGCAGATGGCTCGGGAGAATTCCTATAGGAATCCCAGGAAAATGAGAGACTAACTTTGGTGCATCCTGCATGAGCTGAGGCTTTTGTGTCCCTTGGCAGGGGCTGCTGCTAAAGAGACCAAGATGGAGAACTGAATGATCAGGCTAGACTCCGCTGTATAAGAAGTGGTGAGGGGCACGGGAAGACGTTGAGGACAAGGCTAGGAAGCACTCTTCTGTTCCTACTTTCTGTTGCATCCAGAGGGGCTGGAGATGACAGAGTGCGGTGCCAGCAGGACTGGGCATGGACCTCTGTTGTTTGTGTTTTCCTGTGTGTACAGACCCTTTCTTAGGAGCCCAGTTCTGGAGGGGACTAATGTGCGTGCACACACCTGCTTCCTGAGGAAGCCCACAGAGCTCTCCCCTGGCCTGTGGCAGACAGCACTACTACTCTGTCACTTGAAAACAGGCCTAGAAGAGGAGTCTCTTGCTTAAAGTCACACAAAAAAAGTAGTCAATCCTGACCTACTAAATTCACTTATGATGCTTTAGAGGTTTGGGGGGAGCAGACTCCTCATTTCCTTTGCCCAAACCCTGCACATACCAATTCTTGGAGCTAAAAGGCTTCTTGGAGGTTAAATGGGCTATGAAGAAAGGAAAGCACAAAGCAGTTCAGCAATTGGGCAAGACAGCAACAAAATGCAAGCTGGCCAAGGAGCAAATGACCTAGTGGGCCAAGAGCTCAGGTCCTACAGGGCAACAGACTAAATCAAGCTCACTGCCTAAAACCTTAGCTCTGCCACACTCTAGCAGGTTGTCTGACTTCCACGGCTGTCTCTAGCTCTCTAAGATGAGAATAGCGCATCTCTCTTCAGGTTGTCCTGAAGTAAGAGAGAGAATCCACATTCCATTGCTTATCTGACACACAAGCATGGAGAAACATGGCCATCCAAATTATCACCAGTGGAAGGATTAGGCATTGCCTGTGCCCCATGTGCGTGTGGTGTGGCCTGACCCCTCACCACAGTGACGGCGTCATTGAGCAGGGACTCTCCAAAGACAAGGATGTGCAGCAGTTCGTTGATATGGATCTCCTCGAAGACAGCCAGCACAGCTACCGGGTCCACGGCCGAGATGATGCTGCCGAAGAGCAGGGTGTCCAGCAGGCCGATGTTGTTGATCTGCTCACCGCCCACCAGGCACACGGCGTACAGGAGGCCACCCAGGAAGAAAGCATTCCACAGTGTGCCCACCACAGCAAAGATCAGGATGGTGCCCAGGTTCTCCGTGAACTGCCGCAGTGGCAGGAAGTAGCCCGCATCCAGGATGATGGGTGGCAGCAGGAAGAGGAAGAAGACGTTTGACTGCAGGAAGGGGGGCGTCTCGCCAACGCCCTTGATCAGGCCCCCCACCAGCAGCCCCACTACGATCAGCAGGCAGCTCTCCGGGACGATACTCGAGATGGTGGGGATCACATGGAAACCTGTGAAGGACGAGAGAATGGGAGGCCGTGGGCTTTTCAGGGGAGCCAGAAGAACAGAAGGTTGGGGACAGGACTGGGGACCAGGAGAGCATCTGGCGAGAGGTGCACAGGCTTGGTCTCAGAAGGCCGCTCTCTTAACTCTCTGAGCCTCGGCTTCCTTGCCTGTAAAACGGAAGGGATAATACCAGCTTCACAGGGCTGTGGTATAAAATAAATTATTTTTCAAATTTACATTTATTTTATATGTGTGTGTGTATGCATGCATATATATGTGAGTCTGCACCATGGCACGTGGGTGGATATCAGAGGACAATTTGTGGGACTTGGTTCTTTCCTTCTATCATATGGGTCCCGGGGATTGAACTCAGGTCCTCAGGCTTAGCAGCGAGCACCTTTCCCTTCTGAGCCACTCTGGATCCGATGATTTCACAGAACATTCATTAATTGTCTCTGTCACTGTCCTAGACTGTCAGAAAGCAGCAGTTCTATATACCTCTAGCAGACAGAAATTAAACTGACAACAAGGTGCAAAGTACCCAAGGCAGCAAGCTATTCCTGAGCCCATGGCATCTTTTCAGGCAGAAGTTCAGGGAGGCTGACTTTTGCCCCACCCAGGGAAGAACTATTTAATGATTCTGTCTCAGGGAGGGCTCCATGCCATGGAGGTGTCTAAATCACAGGCCGGCAGTGAACGGTGCTAAAGTGGAGACAGCAGAGAGACCGCTAGGAGAAACGTGGGGACAATAGGCCTGGGTCTGCAAACTGGCAGAGCACATGCATAAATTTCCGATCCCAGACTGGCAGGCAGGAGGCCGTGGACATAACCGAGGCATGCTTTTCCAGACATCAGGAAAAGGTCCCAAGAGGTCAAAAGCCATCAGTTGTGGCAAGCAAAGCAAAACCTCTTTGCCACCCTACTCTGCCTTTAGTGCAATCCCACCCACTCTAAAGAGAGGGCAGCATAGGCTGAAAAGGTAAAGAGACTCGCCCAAAGTTGGAGCAAGTCAGTAGCAGAGTCACGAGAGAACCCAGATCTGATGTCCCGCTCCCGATGCCCCGCTCCCAGCCAGCTCCCTAACTCTGAGATTGTAGCTCTCCTAGCCTCCCTCCCCATCAAGCCATCCTGACACCCAGCAACCATTCCCAAGCGGTGCTGGCCGTCAGCAGCATGCCATTCTTTGTTGTGGACCATGCTGAGGCTCCATACACGGGCCGCGGGGATGATAGGTCTGGGTACAGAGCCGTGTTCCCTATGAGTTCTTCGGTTTGGTTCTGCAGTAGGAAGGTGGGGGAAGACCTGGGTACCCAGATGCAATGTTGGGTACCAGACCCCAAAGCCAGCTCGGTCAAGAGACTGAGCCCTTTGTTCAAGAACGATGCTCCCTCCTCTTCCTGAGCTGGTAAATTTCACAGTATGTGCTGACTTGAGAATGACTGTGATCCTCAAGGACCTGCCTCGACAGATCTTTGCCTTCTTCGTTCCCAGAGCCTTGGGAAGGAAGGACATTTCTCTCAAAAGCAAAGGCACTTCTATGCTCAGTACTGACCCAGGAACACTAGTACACCACAGTCCCCATACAATGACAAGCTCCCAGGAGACACGGAAAACACACTAGGGAAAAACACATCTCTGTCTTAGGGCAGGAAGGAAACCTCAAAGCTACCTTGTACATACATGCTCCTTGTGCGCTGAAAAGATGTCTATAGGCTAGCCAAGTGGTGGTGATGCACACATTTAATCCCAGCACTTGGGAGGCAGAAGCAGGCAGATCTCTGTGAGTTCGAGGCCACGCTGGTCTACAAGAGCTAGTTCCAGGACAGGCACCAAAGCTACAGAGAAACCCTGTCTCAAAACAAAACAAAACAAAAAAGTTTCAAATTCTCTTTAAATGGGTATTTAGTCATAGGAACATGAGACAACTGAGTTCAGGGGACTAGATTCTTACAATGGGCCAGAAAGCACAGAAAGCAGTGTTCCAAGATCAAGAGTGCAGCTCTAAGGACTGGTGAGATGGCTCAGTGGGTAGAAGTGCTTGCTGCCAAGCCTGATGACCTGAGTTTGATCTTCTGGGTGCCACACAGTGGCAAGAACCAACTCTTATAGGTTGTCCTCTGATCCCCACAGGCAGGCTATGGCACCATGAGCACACATAAATAAATGCTTTATAAAGTACCATCCCCCCAAAAAAGAGTACAGCTCCAGTCAGCTGGCCTTCCTTGAATGTTGTGGGTCTACTCTATAGAGTTAGCAACAGCAGTTGTCTTAGAAGAAGACAGAGAGCCCACAGTAAGCAGAAGATAGCTTCCACCTTCACCTAGCAGAAAGGCTGGGAAAATGCCTCTCGTCCTGTGTTCATCAGACCAACCCACAGAGCTGGGATCCAGGAACGAGCAGCCACAGCTCCTGTCTGGAGAGGGTGTGTGAGAGAGACAAGCTAGGAGCAGTAACGTGGGGATGTTTGCTGCTCCTGAAGGTGTCCCAGAACCAGCACTGTGCTGGAAGTTCATGGTCACACTCAGTCCTGCGAACAGCCGGGCAGTGCTGCATGCAGCGGAAGACAAGTCTGGGTGTGCGAGGAAGGGTTCTGTCTAGTACAGCTGTCTCGAGCCTGTGGTCAAGAGTTCTCAGCCGGGGCTGGAGAGATGGCTCAGTGGTTAAGAGCATTGCCTGCTCTTCCAAAGGACCCGAGTTCGATTCCCAGCAACCACATGGTGGCTCACAACCATCTGTAAAGAGGTCTGGCGCCCTCTTCTGGCCTTCAGGCATACACACAGACAGAAAATTATATACATAATAAATAAATAAATATTTAAAAAAAAAAAAAGAGTTCTCAGCCATTGCTGGAGTGTCAATATTTTCCCTGAGCTGGCTCTGCTGGGCCCTGGGGAGCTTGTGAGAAGCTCATGGGGATGACCACGCTACTCTGGAATGAGTCCTCTCTGGCAGGTGAACAGTGGGTGTCCCTACAGACGAGGAGCTGGTGCTCTGAGAGGCAGGATGTGCCCTCACAGGCTGCTCAGGCCTGGGCTTGGGGTCTCCTGACCAGGGGACAATATGCTTTCTTCTGTTGAATCAGCTCCCAGGGGACCCGGGCTGCAGTCATGACCCTGGCGTCCTTCCCCTCTCATCTGCCCCCAGTCTTCCGTTTGGTCCTGCTTCCTAGTATTCTGCTGGGGGCTCCAGGCCTAAGTGGCCTCTAGGCTGAGTCCAGGCCACAGGATCTCTTCACCCTTGGCTTCTTGCCTGCAGTGGGTGGAACATTACTGGAAAATGCTCGGGGGAGGGGCGGTGTCCCTCAGGAGGAGGAGACTCCTAGGGGAAAGCAGCTCGCTTGCTTGTGGTCTGTCCTTGATTGTCCCTCTCCAACTGTCCCCACCCTGTATCCCCCAAGTGTCCTGAAACACAGGTAACTGGCTGACACCTGTAGTGGGGTCCCTGGCGTGGTGACAACGGGCCAATATCGAGGGCTCCTCCAGGGCTCAAACTGTAGCACTAGTGACTTAGCTACAATGGAATTCGGGTAGGGCAGACAGAGTTAGAAACAGATCTAGAGACAAGGGAGCTAGAATGGATCTCAGACAGCATGATATGGTCAGTGGCCACAGAACCAGTTCCACAAGAGCTGTGCACTGCAAAAGCAGTGACCCCTTAAGCCCCACAGTGTCCCTCGTTCCTCCAGGCATCCTGTCCACGCAGAGCTGTGTGGCAGGAAGGTGTGGAATTCCATATTCCTAGCCTTGCACAATGAATGCAGCTGCAGGCTGGCCTCCCTGTGAGAAGCGCTGTGGGTGGAGAGGTGTTCATTCCTTCCCGCTGGAGCGCTGGTGTGACCATGTGTGCACACGATGTATGCGCACACAATGCACACCGACAGAAATGACTAATAGTTTGGATTTGGATTCTCCAGGCTCTCTGCAGCTGCTCCGCCCTTCACCATAAAAACATTTTATTCTCAATCTCAGGCTGCCTCCATCTGCTTGGGTGGGCACGGTGGAGCAGGCAAGGCTGTCCCATGTCACCCACGGTTCCTAGGGTGACCACATGTTCCTGGTTCTGCTTGTCACAGGCCTGCCTGGCCTGGGAAGAGATGGAGGAGGCTGGGACGAGGGGTCTCTGAGGCCCCCCAGTATCAGGTCACCAGGGACCAGACGGCAAATCGGGGGCTCTGCCATCCTGCATCCAGGCCTGAAGACAACTCTGGGGCTGCAGTTCAGCTGGTGCCCAAGGGACTTCTCTCTTCAATGCACAGTGATTCCATTTCTTTACGTCCCTCATCAATGCCCCAGCAGCTGTTCTCAACCACAGCAATGAGAGACAGGGCCTCACACGGAAGCTACAGTGACTCTACAGGTTACGATGTGTGCTAGCCATTTTGATCTCATTCGCTCCTCACCATGACTTCGAGAGGACACAATTTTAGATGAGAAAACTGAGGCGTAGAAAGGTTAATTAAGCAACTTGGCTTAAATCTACAAAAGCAATAACTGGGTAAGAATCCAGGCCCGGAGTCTGCTCTCAGTCACCCACACCATTCCCTCTGGCTTCCTTCCTCGCTGGTTTCTCAGAGGACCCACCCAGGACTAAAGAGGCCCAGAGCTGTTCCCGAAAGACCAGAGGCAGCCATTTTTTCCATGAGCCCTTCTTCCCCAGGGAGGCCTTCACGCGGTTCCTCTCTCACGGTCCTCTTGAAGGCACCGTCCCAGGAACCATGCACCGAGCTTAGCCAGAAGGGCCTTTGCTGCCAGCTCTTAGGGCAACAGGTGGCAGTTAGTCAGACATGGGTTCTCACTATGATCTCATCGGTGGGACCCGAGGAGCAAGAGTAGCTCAGAATCAGCCACTGCCTCAGCAGGATCCCAGACAGAAGTGCAGGAGGTAGAAGTGCCTACCCACGCTGTGTTTCCAGAGCTAGCAAAAGTTAGGTCCCAACCAAGACACAGTAACTAACCAGCATATGGCCTTGTCAAGTTACTTTACGGCTCCTGTCCTCAATCTGCCC